AGTTGATAAAATATTTATTATTGCAGATATATTTATGATTTTCTTGTGTAACTAGCTGATTTACTCTTGCTTCGAACCCCATCAATAATGATTAATTGTAATACTTTTAACATAGTGAAGCGATTTGCGTGAAAAACGAAAATTTCAAAATTTTGAGTTAGAGTAGTGTTCATTGGAGGCATCGATTTTAAGTTGTCTCAGTCCTCATAGGAAGTCGATCAAGTCTAAAGATTAAACCCTACGTTATCATTTTGAATAACATCCGCAATGAAAGTATATTTGGCAAGAAAATAATAATTGTCCTAAGAAATTATTGTGATGCTACTATATCTATTTTCATCATATTTTAATATCTAGCAGCGCCAAACTATATTTAATATCAGATAAATCACCGTTGCTTAGTGAAGTTCATGACATTTCTCCAGCACGTTTCCAGCTTCCAACACGATCTGCCATTGGAAGGACAAACAAAAACTTATTGTTTACATAACTGTAACAATAATTATACCGGTCCTGTATATATATACCTACGTTATGTGAAGTCCTGTTCCCAAAATAAATATACAAAATGACGACTGTATCCACCATATCGATTGCTTGCAGTGGCACTGCGACGTTGCCGCACTGAACCTCGAAAACAACTCGCTCTCTACACATGTATATATACATTAATTTGACATCAACTAACTTTACATTTCACACAAACCTAGGCGTTATCCCTTGTCACTAGAGGTGTATATCCAATTTGACTTATATCGGTTACGACCTTTTGGTTTGTAAAACATGAAACAAACATCATGGCCGACACGTGACTTATTCCAATTAGAAGCCAACCAAATTTGGACCTTATCGAATGGGACTTTAGTTAAGATTAAATTTGACTCTTCTTGATGATTTGAGCTATTTTCGATGAAGCGGTCGATGTAAACAACATTCTCCTTCAAGTCAATTTCAAACTTACCACTTGGGCATAACAGCCAAATTGCTTCGTAAATTGTATTTGGTTAACGTAATGCTTTAATGGCGGACCTATAAAGGAAATCACGTACCTACCTAGCAACAATCAAGTTGTTTTTTATTCAAATTTAAAGTTTTATAAAACACCAGAGTGTGTGTCAAATGACGCTTAGATTACACGAGATTGGGAACGCGAGAAACTTGATTGAGTCATTTATATAGCTCTTTGAAATCAAATACCTATTACAAGTAACGCATGGGTATCAGACACTAGGTAATAACTGGTAATATCTAATTAAATACTTTCAGGATTGTCTGATTCTAGACAGTAAAATCTTAGTCACCATTATCCAGACGAAATATATTGACTGTTAGACATAGGCCTTCAGCAAGGCTTCGTAAATTAATGTATATTTTACGAATATACAAAACACTAACATAAAACTAAAAAAAATGTCCTAACATATCACACGATGAAGGTTGAAAAGTTTAGGAATTACTGGTCAGTTATCAATGTTTTTCTTTGTTTTTATTCTTCTTGTAGATTGCAACTTAACTCTTAAATTGATTTAGGTACTTTGTGAAAAGTGGGCAGACATGTGTATAGCTATTTATTTTGTCGTGAAAAACTCATCTAATTTGGAATAAGTATGATCAGTAGTGCTACTATAAATCGCATAGACTAAAATCTAAAGGAACATTGATTATTATGACCAAGATATAGTTTAAAAATAATACTCTGTTTATATGTGTGTGGCGACATCTATCCGCAGCAACTTGAAAACTAAATCGTAACAATATTTTCCAGAAGTTTTGCACGCGGATATAAATGAAGACTTAAAGTTCATAGCCTAAGGAGTGAGACTTAGAGGTAATCATATTAATGTAAGCTTGTAATATGATGCTAATATACTTTTAAAGGAAACACGACATTCGTATTTAATATTCAAGTAGAATGTAACAAGATCTATCCATTATATTCCAAAGTTGATAGATCAAGTTAAGCCTTCAAAGAATCTGAGGATACTGTTAATGGTACGATGTAGTTTTTGGACCAAAAGAAATCAATCGTTAAACTTAAAATACGCGTTAGTAACAAACAGCTCTAATATATCTCGAAATCGAAAAAAATCGATAAATCGGAAAAATTCAACTATTTTGACAAATTGGTTATGTAGGTAAAATTATAGCAGAGATTTCAAGGAAAAACAAAGCATAGTCTTTATTTTAGCGGTTTCGCAAAAGATTTATCGGACAAGATCCTTTTGCCCTTCAAATTTATTATAAATAATTCATGGTTGATGAAAATCACGGTGACCACATGGAATAGCAATTAAGTCTGACCATCTTGTGCTCCCACAACCACTAGGAGCTGTGGTACTGCGAGCGAAGTTGCATGCGACATCTATTGGGAGTTTTAAGAAACACGTTTAAGAGACTTTTGAGATTTAGCCACTACGAAAATGACGACAGATGGCGCTTAATTACAATATTTTACTAAATATTAATTTCAATCAAGGCAAATTTTTTTTATTGCTTAGATGTGTGGACGAGCTCACAGCCCACCTGGTGTTAAGTGGTTATTGGAGCCCATAGACATCTACAACGCATTAGGTTCAAAAAGGACTACTGTAATTTTTACTAGAGAATTATGGTCAGTAAATTATTTAATACATCTCATTTAATGCCAGCGAAGACAGACAGTGCCTGTATACAGTAAGTTGTCACCACCGGCCATGGCTACATGAGCTGGGTTGCTGATACAACCAGATGGTTGTCTATGTGATCTTCAAAATGCCATTTTTTTTTGTTAATAGCGATTTTAATTCCTCTAAGATATCTTTGTTTTCTTTTCGCTTGGCATGTGACATGGTTTTCGACTTATTGGCAAACTCCCACTCTCATTTAGAAAAATCAACTACATAAAATATAATTTTCCTCGGTCGTACATAAGAAAGAAATAACTAAGTATTTGCATGTTTTGGTATTCTTTGTTGTTGTGCAAGTCACCAATAGATGGCGTTAAAACAATAGTTCTAATGTTTTATAGAATGTCTTTACACTGTAAGTGGATATCAGGTGTTTGTTCAGCGGCTTGGCGTTACCGATAGATGGCGTTTTACTAATATATTTATGAAATTCCAAACGTTGCATCACTCACAGAGGACGGCGAATGTTTTCCGAGCGGATTTATACATATTATGTGTGTGATGGATACTTAATTCATGTCCTACGCTGTCGACTAAGCCTTTCGACGAATTTCATCAGATGATATGTCCTTAGTGTCAGTCATACGAGTTAGAGATAGTAATAATAGGTAAATTAGATACTAGGTCTACCTGCTCCTAATCTCAAGAAATACCTAATCCAAATACCTGATCCACATAATCTTCCTAATCTCATTCATAACCAATACTTAGCAAGCAATCTCAATCTGCCTGTTCCTGGATTTGATTAATGTGATCGTTGGAGCATTATTGAGAGATACGTTGCAACGCGTAAGTGAGTGAGGTAGCGCAGGAGCAGGTGGGAACATAGCGCTCATTTGGAGCGACGCGACAGTGACAGTGCTGAAAAATGTGAACTGATTTAATTTCACGGCAGAAATAGGCAGGGTGGTGGTACCTACCCGCGCGGACTCACAAAGCAGAAATAGGCAGGGAAAGGGCACCTGGTTGGAGGACGCCCCACGCTCCTGGTACCCATCCGTGGCCTCCATTCGAGGACTTTCCTCCCCCACTCTCGCTCGTCTTAAATCGTATCTTTTCTTTCTAGCCCTAACGAATCCGTCGCGAGTTAAATTTTACTCTCAATACGCCTAAAGAAGTTTCACTTCAAAAAACTTATTTATAGCGTAGACACGTGAACTAGCTCACCGTCGACCCGGCTTTAGGTGGCTACCGTTATATAAATTCTACAACGCAAATTACGGCACCTAATTTTAGACATTTTATTTTTACTAGAGGTCCCCTGGTAGTCGAAATTCGACTATAACTAATGGAAATTATAAGTTTGTACACTATTACGATTCTATTGTCAAAGACTATTAAATACTTCTTTAATCAGTTTTCGTCAAGACTACACTTTAGACAAATATTAGTAAAGAGAAAACAATATTTAATTATTTAATCTATTCTCAATTTGACAGACTATAACTGACAGGACTTTTTGGCGGGAAAGCGAAGAGTGGAGTTGTGTGATTTGTTTTATTTTGTCTACTCAGTGTTTCTTCAGGTTTAAATGTGTAATAACGGTGGTTTATTAATTGTTTAATATCTCTGAAAATGCACAAATGTGGTAAAATAAAACTTCTCGGGATCCTTCAAAAAGTCCACTGAAAAAATCTCAGTAAATGACCACCATTTTATTGAGATTATAATTCATCCTACATTATTTCATTTAACTTCATCCCAGTTGCTTAATGTCTCAAATTAATCATCTTCATTTTATTTGATTTCACTCCATATTATAATTTTTCATAAAAATAAAAATATAAATTAAAATAAAANAAAATAAAACTTCTCGGGATCCTTCAAAAAGTCCACTGAAAAAATCTCAGTAAATGACCACCATTTTATTGAGATTATAATTCATCCTACATTATTTCATTTAACTTCATCCCAGTTGCTTAATGTCTCAAATTAATCATCTTCATTTTATTTGATTTCACTCCATATTATAATTTTTCATAAAAATAAAAATATAAATTAAAATAAAACATGACTTAAAAGTCTTAGTTACCAGGTCATAAAATCCCTTTAAAAAAAAACTATAACTGACAACCTGCCATGAAAAGTTTGACAATAAATAAATAGTATGCATGCGTGTGTGCGTCAAATACATGGTATGTAGTGTGTGTAATGTTTTCTTTATTGATTTAATGTATCTTTTATGAATTATTTAAAAAAAACATTATCATTGTGCACTTCTTCTCTATATTCTCTGTAAGTGTGGAAAATTTCATATTCCTCCGTCCGCGCAATTTACGTAAAAAGGGATAAAAGGGCCTTACAGGAAGACGAGCATAGCGTAAGAAATTAAAATCTAAATTGAATAAAAAACAGGCTACGGAGCCCAGCGCCTTGTGGCGCCTCCTGCGGCTCTGTGACGTTAATTTATTATCCAATACATTCTTATTTATAATATTATATACAATCAATTATATACTTTATACATAGTTCAGAGCAGAGCGCCGCCTCCGTCCCCCCGGGGCCGCCGGGGGGGTTGGGGGGTCAGGCGCGCACGGTGATGGCCAGCCCGTGCTCGGGCCAGCGCACGGTGCGGGAGGGCGCGGGGGCGGGGGCGGGGGCGGGCGCGTCCTCCTCGCTGTCGGAGTGCGCGGCGTCACAGAGGGTGCTCCGCTGGGCGAGTATATCCGAGGCGAGGCTCTTGTTCACTAGTATCTGTAGATCAAGTGTATAGTTGTGAGACAGTCGTAATGTTCTGCGGACGATGCACGCAGTGAACGGATGACGTCATATAGTGAGGGGGGTGAGGGGAAATGCGCCCCCAGCGTCGCAGTCTCAGATCAACACTTGCTCAGTTTGAGAAGAACGCGTATAATTAAAACTGTTTGACACATATACACTGACGGGTGGGTACCACCACGCCGCCTATTTCTGCCGTGAAGCAGTAATGCGTTTCGGTTTGAAGGGCGGGGCAGCCGTTGTAACTATACTGAGACTTTGGAACTCATGTCTCCAGGCTTGGAATTTAAGTTGTAGATATCTATGGGCTCCGGTAACATTTCTAAAACTCTTTAACGCCAATCATAGTGCTGTGACGTCACATGTGGCTATTGGATCGTGCATTACCTGCAGCCAGGAGCCCCGGGCGGCGCGCGGCGCGTCGGTGCTCACGAAGCAGCCGTGCACGCCGGGCGCCACCAGCGTGACGGCCGCCGACTCGCCGCGCCACGTGAAGTGGGCTCCGTGTAGAATGCGGCCCCTGGACCACACGACAAATGGTTATTTCAAATTTTATGCGCAAAAAAGTAACTGAAGACTTCTAGGATTTTCTCTAAGTTCGCGTTTTGTTGCGTCTCGGGGGGGTGGAGGACGAGCGGGGTTGGGGGGTCAGCCACTTCACGTATGTCCTACATGATAGCGAAAATCATCGCCTAGCGGCAATAAATAATTGAAAAGAATTTTGAAAACGGTTCCAATATATTAGATAAAAAAATTAATAATAGTTTTAAAAAAAACAAACAGTATACGCTTTTATAGAAAATCCAACTAAAAAATAGAAAATAAATTTTAATTAATTTGAATCAAAAATTATGTAAGAAAAAATGATTTTATTTAAAAAAAAAAGCGTGGGGTGCATGATATCAGTAGTTATAAATATTTTATGAACAGATATGAGTAGAAGGGTTATTTTGATAATATCCTGAAAAGCACCACACGCTTATATATATAAAAGCGTATTTTGTTATTTTTTTTTTAAATTATTATTTTTATTTAATTTTTTAGTTGAATTTTAATTTTTTCAATATATTTTTTTAAATACTGAATTGTCATCGGTCCTTAATAAGTATACCAAATGTCAAGTTAATCCGACGTTTTGAAGGGGGTCAAAATCATGTTCAAAGATTCCGTTAGAAACATACATACGTCTGAAGCTAATAAAAGCGTATTAAAATGAGTTCGTAGTCCCGGTCCCCGGGGGTTCCCCGGGCCGGCGACGACTCCGACAGACTTACTCGACGGCCAGGGGCAGCAGGGCGGCGCCTTCCGGGCTCAGGACGACGTGGACCCCGCCCAGGTACTGCACCGCCTCCCCCGGGGGGTCCTGCGGGGGGGGACACTGTACACTGCGCCTGAACTTCATTCTGATTAATTACTAAAATACACGGCCGGTGGATGTTTTGAATTTAGATATGTTTAGGACTGGGTAAAGAATAAGTTTTAGGACTCACTCTGTAGCTCGCTGATGCACTATTTATTTTTCTCACTGGCGAGAGTTATATGTGCTGATTGATCAACAAATCACAATTTTATCTTTTTTGCACCGGCACCATGTTTTAGTTTTTTTTTACACACTCTTCGCGCCATTTTGGTACGCGCGTAGTTTTTCTTATAGTGTCAACAGATGGCGTGATTAGGGGGATTGAGGAAGGAATAAGGAAAAGGAAGTCCCAACAATGGGCGCCACGAGACCTTCTATTTTTAAGCTGCTGAGCATGCATACATTAACTGTTCTAAACACGAACCTCAAGTCTCAAAGGTGCCTCAATTTAAGTGGCGATATCTATGGGCTCTAATATAGAAAATATCTCGTATATTCTTGAGCATTGTAACATATTCTTCTAGGAACAAGGCTTGATGAGATCCGGTGGGGATCAGGTTGGGGAGGAGCGGTGAGCAACTAAGTGAATGGACAGACCTCGGCAGAGAGCTTCGCCAGCGCCTCTCCCATGCTCGACATCCCGAAGCTGTCCGTGGACATGTGTCCTGCAACAGGTTCAGTCATCAGTGGGCGGTCCCCGGGCTACAACAAACATTATGCACACACACACACACACACAATTTGTTAATAACTTTATCCGAACTAACATCCATCACCAGCCCATCTGTCAGTACACAAAGGCTGGGTTTATTGAAGTGAGCGTCAGGTCTCATCTACGTCGTGCTCAAGGTGCTTACCGGTGACCGTGGTCTCCAGGTGGGCGAGCCCCTGTGCATCCTCCCGGGCCACCGACTCACCAGTCGAATCCTGGGGAGTATATATAGTATATAATGCACACAAGTACCAGGTGGTCGGGGTGTGGGCCGCCATGTACAGATCAGCATTTCATTGAGTGCAGCATACACGGAACTCATCAATATTATTTAGGCAGCGGCTTGGCTCTGCCCCTGGCATTGTTGAAGTCCATGGGCGACGGTAACCACTCACCATCAGGTGGGCCGTATGCTCGTCTGCCTATAAGGGCAATAAAAAAAATATATATCAACGTGTCACCCGCCCGTTCCGTGCGGTCCATGGGCTCGTGCGTCCGCTACAGTACGTACCTCCCACGCGGCCCAGCGCACGTCGCAGGAGACGCCGGCCAGCTGCGCCAGCGCGCCCCCCGCGCCGCCCCCCGCCCGCACCGACACCCGCCGCTCCATGCGCGTCACCAGCCAGCACCCGCCGCACCTGAACACATCACGTCACCGTTGGCCGGGTCGCGCCCCCCAACCCCCCGCACGACCCGGCCAACAGACGACTACTCTTTTTTTTATTGCTTAGATAAGTGGACGAGCTCACAGCCCACCTGGTGTTCAGTGGTTACTGGAGCCCATAGACCAGGCCATAGATAGCCAAACCCGTCGCTTGCGACGTAGGACTCGGCGAGTAAGCTAACCCACAGACACAGCCCACTAAGTTTCTCGCCGGATCTTCTCAGTGGGTCGCGTTTCCGATCCGGTGGTAGATTCTGTGCCAGTGTTAGCAACACATCCGGTTTGAGCCCCGACAGCTCGCCTACGCATTAGGTGATTAGGGTGAAGAAAAGACAAAAAAAACAGCTGGTCTATGGCGCATTTTATTTATTTATTGCCTAGATGGATGGACGATCTCACAGCCCACTTGGTATAAAATGGTTACTGGAGCCCATAGGCATCTACAATGTAAATGCGCCGCCCACCTTGAGATATAACTTCTAAGGTCTCAATATAGTTACAACGGCTGCACCCTGCAAACCGAAACGCATTACTGCTTCACGGCAGAAATAGGCAGGGCGGTGGTACCTACCCGCGCGGACTCACAAGACATCCTAGTACCACTCACCTCGGGTCCTGCGCTATGAGTTTCAGTACCTCGGAGACGGAGCTCCTCTGGGCCGCCCTCAGCTCTCTGCTGGTGCAGCCCACCATCTGTAACACGCGGGAGGTCAACTCTAGAAGCGCTGCGACACACAATGAAACAATCAGAGTTTAACGGGTCAACGAACTGTCATGACCGTCACTCTACATTGCGGGTTCACGACATAGGACTTTTCACTGGTAGTGACCTCTTGTGAGTCCGCGCGGGTGGGTACCACCACCCTGCCTATTTTTGCCGTGAAGCAGTAATGCGTTTCGGCTTGAAGGATGGGGCAGCCGTTGTAACTATGCTGAGACCTTAGAATTTAGATCTCAAGGTGGATGGCGCATTTACGTCGTAAATGTCTATGGGTTCCAGTAACCACTTAACACCAGGTGGGCTGTGAGCTCGTCCACCCATCTAAGCAATAAATAAAAATAGGAAATGATCGACAGCAGCTCATACTGTCATATGACCACCGCCAGAGAGACGCGAGCTCCACGTGTCAACTATACCAACGATAGCAGCTTGGTTCTGTTCTTGCTGACGTTCATGAGCGACGGTATCGGCTCACCATCGGGTGGGACGAGTGCTCATCTGTCTACAAAGATGAAAAAAATGATGGAAATTTTAACATAGACTAGATGATGACCGAGCTTTGCTCGGTTTTTTTTTTGATAACGCCATCTTGTTTCTTTAAAGCGGTTAGTTGCCCTCAATTAAGAAAAATAGTATTCGCCAATAGATGTCGGGAAGAGTTGATTATTGAAAACACGAATAAAACAACATTTTCTGAAAATAAATCGTAGCTAGATTGATTTATCGCCCCCGAAATCCCCTGTATACTAAAATTTTATGAAAATCGTTGGAGCCGTTTCCGAGATTCAGATTACATACATATATTAATATACAAGAATTGCTCGTTTAAAGGTATAAGATAAGCATAATGTTACGCCGGTAAGAGCAACGCCATCTATCGTCGGATAATAGCAGAAACGATTATCGAAAATACTCGACTTGTGTGGAATATTCTCGATAGTTCTAGGGATGTCGTACCGACTATAAAAGCGTTGTAGGGATGGCACGCAGTCAGTCAGTAATCGGATCTACTCGAAGCGAAACAGCGAACGGATCACTTGAAGCAGCGGTCGGGGAACTTTTTGAAGTGAAAACTTCTTTAGAATCGTTGTGATTTCAAACCGGATGCAACGGAAAAAACGACAGGTAAGAGACACAAATACAAAGAATGAGACAGAAATATACATACTATTTAATACAGCGCCATCTGTGAGATTTTTTAATACTAACGTGTGTATGAAAGCTCTTGTAGTGAATTTTAATTTAGGATTATACGTGAAATTAAAATATCAATTCACAGAGGGCGCTACCTTACAATTATTTATTAATGACAAAATTTTACATATACTTAAGACGTTTAGGATAATTGTATTTTAATTTTGGAAGGTTTCACTTCTACCACGTGTGAATTGCACACATGTAATTTTTTAATTATTACCCCAAAATATTGTTGTGTAAGTTCTTAAATTACCCCTGACGAAGAACAAAAAAAAACGAAATCGCTTCTTTTTAGCATCTTTCATATTATAGCCTCCATGATAATTTGAAATCACAACGATTCTAAAGAAGTTTCACTTCGATATATACTTTTTACTCACAAAAGTTTCATTTTTACCCCCCAAAATTTCATTTTACCACATTTGGGGTAGTTTACCCTGGTTCCCCGACCGTTGACCTGAAGCGAAGCGGAAGAAGTGAATTGAGAATTTTAAAGTGTTCTAAGTGTTAATTTGTACTTCGGTATAATTTTATTTATCCCGAACCCCAGCGCGTAACAATAATGCATGCACAATATGATTATTGAATCACTTTTTTTTAAAATGATTTTTATGACCTGGTAACTGAGACCTTTAAGTCATGTCTTATTTTAATTGATATTCATATTTTTATGAAAAATTATATTATGGAGTGAAATGAAATGAAGATGAGATGATATGGGATGAAATTATATAATCTCAGTAAATGGTGGTCGTTTACTAAGATTTTTTCAGTGGACTTTTTGGAGGATCCCGAGAAGTTACGTCCACCGGCTTTATTTCATTTTCCCACATTTGTGCACTTTCACACATATTAAACAGTTAATAAACCACCGTTATTACATATTTAAGCCCGAAGAAACACTAAATAGACAAAATAAAACAAATCACACAACTCCACTCCTCGCATTCCCGCCAAAAAGTCCCCGTTGTCTGCAACAAGACACGCACAGGACGCAGGGGACGACTGAGGGCGAACTTCCTATGAGGTCCCCACGGTTAGGGGGCGCGCGGGGTAGGTGGGACTTAATGATCTGCAGATGTTGGGAGCAGACCATGGGCCCAAGGAGCACACAGGATACCTGTAGGAAGGTGACGATGCCGTGCGGCGTGCGAGCGTGTCGCAGCTGCGGCTCTGTCGCGACCAGCAGGTGTCGCATGCGGCCCCCGGACCTCTCGCCGTCCAGCGGACGATGCCACGATATGTGGTCCCCGGCGCACAGCTTGTTACCTAAACCAGAAGAACCGTAGTAATTATTGGTGGTAGATACCATCACCTCCCTGCCTATTTCTGCCGTGAAGCAGTAATGCGTTTCTGTTTGAAGGGCGGGGCAGCCGTTGTAACTATACTGAGACCTTAGAACTGATATCTCAAGGTGGGTTGCGCATTTACGTTGTAGATGTCCATGGGCTCCAGTAACCACTTAACACCAGGTGGGCTGTGAGCTCGTCCAACCATCTAAGCAATAAATAAAAAAACTGACCTCAAGAAACGTCTATGAACAAACGTCACATTCAGACCTGTAGTGAACACGTATCTGGCCAAGGCCTGCAAGAGAGCCGCCGGCCACAGCGGGGGGTGCTCTGCCCCGTCAGCTGCGAGCCGGAACGTCAGTTCGATGCCGCAGCCAGACGGCAGGGGCGCGCCCGCGGACAGCGCCGCACGGTCCGGCGGGGGGTGCACCCTCCCATCCCCGTGAAGGTCTGACAGACCGAAACTGCAATTGAACTAATGTTATAACATTCAAGTCCCATAAGTTGTAGTCAACTATACTGCAACACCTCAAGCCTCAAGATGTGCAACATCTGGCACTTTTGCGGCGTGGACTCCAGAAAGAACAGCACCTGGTGCTTTGAGAGCTTGTCTGCTTATTAAAGAGAATCTGATGAGGAATGGAAGCAAGCTCTTGTGGCGGGTAGCCATCATACAACGCAAGATATTTGACAGATGCCTGAATCTCGCTTACGACATTTTCAAGATAAAGCGCATATAAACAAGTTCCGAACAACAACATTAGGACCGTTGGTCTACCGAGCCAATATCCCCAGCTCAGTGGAAGATCTTCCCTTTGTCGTTTAAGCTTCCTGCACTCTCAATCTCATATCTTGAGGTTGGCTGCAGCATTCATATTGGGGCTACTAGCACCCTTTACCACTTAACATCAAATGAACTCTAGTCAGTTGTTCAACCCTGGTAAAGCAATTCGGAAACACAAAATATTTAACAAAATTTCATTGAGATATAGCTATTATAATTGCAGGTGAAAACCTAGACACCTTGGAAACTCGGTATAGTTGTGATCTGCTCTTGAAGGAAGGTCAAGTTGTCATATCAGTTTGAGTACTTACTGTATATCGATGTAATTCATTCTAGTTACAGCAGTATGTGCTTAGACTTCATTTATAAATTTATCGTCTGAATCTCCTAATTACCTTATGTAGTGCCAATGTGGTGGTATATTTTCCTCCGGTTTCCCTGGGTTCCGGTACATGCTGATGTAGTCTAAAGGATCTTGTCCTCCCAACCTGAGACAGATGTGACATTATTAAGCTATTGCATAGCGTTTATCGAAGGCTTTGAACGCGGCGACCGAATCAAAAAATTCGTAACGAAAATAAAATCTAACACCCCCACTCCGCCTACCATGTAGCTTCACGTTGCGCTTGTGTAGTGTTTGTGAATAAGTGCGCGGCGTGACGTCGCACTGCATGCGCATCATGAAAAGTCTGCCCATCTCTCTCTCGCGCGGTCTAGCTTATGAGTGTGAAGGGGACAGTTAATGTTTTGCTTTTGTTAATGTTTATAAACATAGCGTGGTCTTATTTTATTATTGTTTTAATATTAAATTATTATTGTCTAATTGTAATTGCATAAGTTGATAAGAAATGGTATGCAATAGCTTTACTGCGGCAGTCCCTGTGGGCTATACGGGTTTTTTATTTTATATAACTTGTACTGGTGGTTAGGTGTATTGTAAGTTCACAAGCAGGTATGGCTGAACACCCTTCAAACTGTAATGTGTTTCTGTTTAATGGCAGAAATAAATAAGGTACCAATTTTTTTTTGTGAGTCGCAATTATCTCTTATACTACTTTTACTTTGAGTTAGGTATTGTGACCGGAAAATCCGAAATGTCGAAAATAATAAAAGAGATATGATAACACTAAATTATAGTGTAAAAAAAATCTGTAAAAAAATGTTAAATATTGCCTATTGCCATAGCAAAGCACTTATTGTCAAGTTCAATGAGAGGGGCAGTTATTAAAATATTCAATGAAGTCAGAACATTCATCATAAGATAAGTAGGATTGGCGTTGTGATCTCTGTAACCTCGAGCGATCAGTTCACACCAGGCAGCTTACCAATATTTGAGCCTGGTCGTGACCTGCAGAGGGTTAGGCTGGTCTGGATACAGCTGGGAACAAGCATCACATAATGCTTTCAAGCCAGCCGGCGCAACTGGTACTAGTTGTTCTGAAACAATTTAATTGTTCACTGATTTTTGGTATATTTAATGAAGAGACACTTGGAATTACTACACTATGGTAACCACCATCAGGCTGTATGCTCATGTGCCTACAAGGGCAATAAAAAATAATATTCGAAAATAGTCTAAAAACTGATGATAAAAATACAGGAATCATAACAAGAATTTAGAAAGCTGGAATCAGTACTAGATGAGCATTTAAGCTCATTCATCTAATACCTGTAATAGAATGTTTGAATGCACCCACTTTAATACTATGTTTTAAAGATTTTGCAATTTTCAGAATGCGGCAATAAAAGGTATTTGGAATACACCTAATACCTATGTTTATGCCCTGTGAATACTAAAAAAAGTACTATACAACAACTAGCTACTGTCAGTTAAAAGAGTTTTGATATTATGTTCTTATGTGGTATTTATAAGAAAATTTCGGGGTAGACGTATGTGCGCTGCACATCCATGAGCACATCCCATGGCTATAGTTAAACCATATATTAATGTTCTGCTATTGTTCTGTTTGCGTTTGATGTCTGAGAAGCGCATTCGTTCATTTTTATAGAGTTGTTACAATAATTCCACAGGGGAGAAACTAGACTCTTGAAATTGTTATTTGGGATCATAAACTATGTAAATAAACAAATACCAGATTGTTTGGCATCTTGAGGTTTGCAAGCGTCATTTTCCGGTCCATGAACTCGCTGCGCAGACGCAACGAATGACAGGGCACTGTTGCAAGGCACCCCCGACGAATGAGGAGCCCTTGGGCCACTCGGACAGGACATAGCTATGTTATTCACAATTTACTTTGTTTCTGCATAATTCATTGAATCAATAATTAAATCAATTAAGAATCACTGACTCAGCTGTTGATTCCTGAACTAACAGTATTCCTATGCAGTATTCAGTCAGACTTTTTTTTATGTACGTAGCATGTACCAGATTCGAATTGAGAAAGAGAATAGAAATTAGGTTTGTAATAAATAGAAGAGTGACATGAAATGAGCAAGCGGATTTTTTATGTTTTATTATGTACAAATTTTGTAGACTATGGAACATGATGGCGGATTCCTGAACGGTTTTTTAAGCAAAAATTAGCATGGAAATTGAACAAATCACAAAAGAAAATACATTGTCGGTTACATAATGAATTGCTCAACACAAATGAGTTATTAAACCAGGTTATTAGTTTTAATGACGATCTACAGCTATGAAAAGACGCAGGAATTCGTCAGCTGTGAGTAGTGTTTGATCTATCGACCTATATTAGGCATATTTTTTCTAATGGTGAATTGACGATGCCGATTTCCGATTAAAACTACAATGATACATACAATGACTAATTATTAGGTACGTAAAAATTACCCCACCACCATTCCAAACTGATATTGACAAACCGCAAACAGAATTTCTGAACGATAATCTCTAACCATAAATTTCGGCTGTAAAAAATAAATCACGATTTTCACACTATTTATATTTATTTATGTCTCTAAACGACTCATCCGTGATCTATAAATAAACTATTAAACGCAAAACGCCATTCGATAAGAATTATTTGAGCTCAACAACCAAGTCAACTCATAAAATGCGTTACATATATTTGACTACTATTTTCAGTGTTGTTTTTGCCTTTGAAAAAGATATAACTTTTACTGTTCAAGCAGGAATGACCGACTGTTTCTACCAGAAAGCACAGCCGAACGAGTTAATAGACATAGAATATCAGGTACACTTAATCAATTCGGAAACAAAACTAGAGTTCATACTACGAAAAAGAGTAAATTTTTTCTCAATTCTTTGCATTCAAATGCTTCAAATTCCAGTTTATGAACCTAATTGAAACGTCTTAATTTAAGTTAAAAGGTATATAACTTAATAACAGAACGTTAGGTTACAGTGGTCCAAACTAGCCTCTAAATATGTGAAATCCGGAGTAAACTTCTGATAGAGGTGTGTACTAGCAACTGGCTAATCGCTCGCATCATTTAATTGAGGAAGCCAATAAAAAATGTGAACTGTGTTAATGATTGGACCTGTTTTTTTCATTACCTTATGTTGATGAGCTTTTGCTCACTTTAAGTGGTTACAGCAGTCCCCTTGTGATTGATAACATTGAAATCTCAACAGCATTAGTACATCAATTACGTCCTAAAAATGAAACCTGTGATTGCTCTTTAGCAGGATAAGGAATAATATCAATAAGTACCTCTACATTCCTGTGCTTCTGTGCAACATATCCTACCATTCTAGAAAATTATTTTTACTTATTTCCTAATCTTTATATGTATGTAAAATGTATATTAAAGGTAATAGATGCAACACATGGTGAATTGGACATATCATTTCAACTCACGGATCCTGTTGGACGGGTAATAGTCTCTGACTACAAGAAGCCAGAGAACTCTCACAGACATCAAGCCACCTTAAATGGAGACTACAGATTTTGTTTTGACAACACATTCAGCACTTTTAGTCAGAAAACTGTGAGTTTGTATTGGACAATATCCTTTGCCATTTAAAGTGAAAGACTGTCTCTATTCTGGAAACACAAATGGTGGCTAAACATTGGAACATAGGGAAGCTAAGCTTAAGAAGGAGGCCCTATGAATACAACAAATACTACCAATATATCTACATAAAGCAAAGCAAAAGCATAAAGCTACTTAAAATATTCAAATCATAAAAGCTTTAGTGTGAATCTTGAAAATAGAAACAAAGATGGTTTATTACTTTTCAACACCATAACCACTGCTATTTAATGAGTTCTTACCACAAAAATTACATTTCATGACAGTTTTATGCGATATTTTACAACGTTTATGTTTTAAACGTGTTGGATTATTGAAAAAAAACGCACAAAACTCATTCTATTACTTTAATTGTATACTAACAAAGACCAGTGTTTGTGAACATTACCGTAATTTAAAATTACAATCATAAAATTAAATAACGTTTGTTGACTCGCATGCTGGTCTATGGCTCTTTAACAATGGAGCGCTGCTTTGCTGCTCTGCGGTATTCGGACGAATACGACAAACACTCTTGTGTCAGATTTGGGCATATTTTTTCCAGAAATACACTGTTTTCTGCTAGAAAAATAATTACAAAATATATTTTATTTATTTATTTATTGCCTAGATGTGTGGACGAGCTCACAGCCCACCTGGTGTTAGGTGGTTACTGGAGCCCATAGACATCTACAACCTAAATGCGCCACCCACCTTGAGATATAAGTTTTTAGGTCTCAAGTATAGTTACAATGACTGCCCCACCCTTCAAACCGAAACGCGTTACTGCTTCACGGCAGAAACAGGCAGGGTGGTGGTACCTACCCAAGCGAACTTACAAGAGGTCCTACCATCAGTAAAAAATCCATCCTTTCCTCCCCCTCCCTTCCTTAAAAGTGACGCTTGGAAAGATATCACTTGACCCCTCTCCTCCCTAGAACACCTCACGTAATTAATGGACGTCTCCTAACAAGCTTCTAGTAATCTGCTATTGCTATTCCAAGTGTAAGTGAATGTAGATCAGTTCATTTACACTCATACTCATCAACCCGTTGTCACCAGTCGGAGAGTCAGAGTGTTGACACATGACCATTTTTCAGGTATTTTTCGACATATTAATAGACAATGAGGAGACAGAGGAGAAAGATTATGATGACGACAAAGAAATGGAACTTGGTATGTACTTGCCTTTTACTTAATACTACCTTCAGTGTTATCATGTACTAGTGACAGATGTTCTATTACCTGGCAACACTGGTGAAACCTTAGTACTGTCAAATTTTGAAATGACATTGTCAAATAAAACCATAATAGTCCGGTAGTCAAAATTCGACTTTATTTAATTGAAATTATAAGTTTGAACATGGTGCTATTGTCATGGACTATTATACTTCTATAATCACAGATTTCGCCAAGACTACACTGTAGACAAATATTAATAAAGACAAACAATATTTAATCTATTCTCAATTTGACCACAGACTTTAAGCAATAAGAAAAGTCTGACAATAAACAAATAGTATGCATGCGTGTGTGTGTCAAATACGTCGTAGTGTGAGTAATGTTTTTTTATTGATATAATGCATTTTTTACGCATAATTTAAAAAAATTATTAACTTTCTGCACTCCTCTATATTCTCTATAAGTGTGAGAAATTTCATACTCTTCCGTCCGCTCAATTTTCGTAAAAAGGGGGTACAAAGTTTTTGCTTTATATATCTTAATATATACAAATTACGTCTCACGTTTGTCCGCGATGGACACCTAAACTACTGAACCGATTTTACCTTTTTTTTTAAATACCTATGTGTTTTGTTTCAACTTAGGCCACACGATGGTTTTTATTTCGGTTAATGGTCGCAATATTTATTAATTAACAATAAAATGATTTCTTACGTTGAATATTGTTATTAATTGTAAGTTTCATAGTCTAAAACAGATGGCGCCTTAAATCAGTTTTTACAGACAATTGTAATACTGTGTGACATGGCATAAACACCACGTGTTGCTGAGGCTAAAGTATAAGTGAAATTTATTTCGTAGTAAACGCAATACAGTGAAATCCAATAGTTCTTGCTTTGTCAATTTTTGGTATTAGCATAGCCGGCCACGTGTTATTTAGAAACAAAAACCTTAGCCACAGCAACGTGTGGCCGGGTCTGCTAGTTATATAGTATATATGGATTTTTCATGTTTGACGTCAGGTACTGCAGCAGAGAGCTACATAATGAGGGTGAGGGATATAGCGGAATCTGTGAACCGGGTGAGGGACAACGTGTCCGCGGCCAAGAGACTCCAAGAGTTGCAGTCCGCGCACGAGGCCAGAGACAGGAACATCGCTGAAGAGATGTGCGACAGGTGAGCTTTTTGATGATCATCAGGCTCTCTAACACGTGTCGATCTTCTTGCATTATACACAGTTTTATAGTTTGATCTTGAACATTATATAAAAGTGTATCTGATCAGTGATGATCAGTGGTCAGATTAGGTAGATTGATTTTATATACTTGCGTCAAGATATTATAATATGGACATGCCATTAAATTTATTTTTAATCCTCATCGGATACAATTTCAATATTTATGAGATGTCTAAGTTTTGTCTCATACTGACAAATGTCATTTCTAATTCAACAGAAAGGGACAAAATACGGTGTAACTATTCCAAGTTGTTTTTGAATAAAATACAATATTTTAGCTAGCACTGGTAGCGTAGATTAATATTATTAATACGTTTTTCAACGTAAACACAGATTCATGCTAATTTCAAAATTCCGGAACAAATATCACAATAAATATGAAGATCCGGTATTTTGGAGGCATATCCATATTATCCTCTACGTTTGACGTCAACGACCTTAAATTAATCTACCTACTCCGACCCCTAGTGATGATACAATGAAATCTCGTGGTGTTTCTTACGAAATTTAATTTTTTATTTATACAATAGTTTGTTTAGAGATGTTTGCTTTTGTATTTTAAAAATTATGAATTAAAGAAGCATCTAATTTGGTTAAGCTATATGAAGTAAAGGGATTTTCCCTCGTAATTTTTTTCTATTAAGAACAGATTATATTAAAATTACAGAGTAGTTAGCTTAAATTTTTTAATTACAGGTGATCAGCTTAATATAGATTGTACACGACACACAGACACGGCAAAGACGTTAACAAAAAGCATTTTTTAATACAGCATTTCCCAAAGTGGGCGATAACGCCCCCTTGTGGCCGCTGCAGGCATAGAGGGGGCGGTAAGAGACCCGAAAAAAAATGGGGGCCTGGTGTAGAGGCTTAGGAGGCGATTTGTAATTTTCATCTAGGAGGACACTGATTGAGCTCTCGCCATAATGGTTTACTAGTAGGTAAAAAATTGGGGGCGCTAAAAATACTTTATTCTCAAAGTGGGCAGTAGACAAAATAAGTTTGGGAACCCCTGTTTTAATAGAAAGAGATTTGGAATAAACTTCCACCATGTCTCTCTTCAAACTAAGCTGAAACAGATTTCTTAGTTATAGGCAGAATTTTAAACCCTCAATATTGTTGATTTCCATGAGCAGCAGTGACAATTAATCATCAGATGGGACGTATAGTCAGCACAGACACCCTGAGCCGGTGTTGTGAACTTGGGTTAGACGGATTGATTAATATGACACTAAACAAAAGAATGTGATGGTAGGACCTCTTGAGTCCACACGGGTAGGCACCACCACCACCCCGCCTATTTCTGCCGTGAAGCAGTAATGCGTTTCGGTTTGAATGGTGGGACAGCCGTTGTAACTATACTGAGACCTTAGAACTTATATCTCAAGGTGGGTGGCGGCATTTACGTTGTAGATGTCTATGTGCTCCGGTAACTACTTAACACCAGGTGGGCCGTGAGATCTTTCACTCTTCTAAGCAATAAAAATAAAATGTTCTTATATTACAGGGTCATGAGATGGTCCATCATTCAGATGGTGCTGATGGTGATGGTCGGGGCCACACAGGTACGTTAGTGCAGGGACATACACATAAGGTGCATAGAAAAAAAGATATTTTCTAAGCATTCTAGTTTTACTGCGGGCAAATGACGTCACAATCGATCTAGTGTGAAGTGGCTAGCGGAGTCTATTGCGATTCCAGTGTGAGTGTCTGAGATGAGTGACATGAGGTTGACATCCCAATTTTTATAATATAAGGGCTGTCACACTCTTTTAAACGAATCGCGTTACTGCTTCTCGGCAGAAATAGGCAGGACCGTGGTGCCCATCCTTGTGAATTTACAAGATACTCTACCACAACTAAACGTCGGCTGTCGATTGAAATATATATTTCTTTTATTGCTTAGATGGGTGGACGAGCTCACAGCCCACCTGGTGTTAAGTGGTTACTTGAGCCCATAGGCATCTACAACGTAAACGGTCCACCCACCTTGAGATATTAAGGTCTCAGTATAGTTACAACGGCTGCCCTACCCTTCAAACCGAACGCATTACTGCTTCACGGCAGAAATAGGCAGGGCGGTGGAACCCGACTGCGCGGACTCACAAGTGGTCCTACAACCAGTATGCTGGTATAACAGTCGAAGAATTTGTATCCCTGGTGGGTAGCTTTGAGATCTGTGACCCACTGGGCAGCCCTACAGACACATTCTATAAAACTGTCTCAGCTTTGCAAAGCTCAGGCGTGGCCCTTGCCGATAAACTTAGCGCTTAGAGCTTAAAGCTTAGCGCTTAGCCCGGATGGAATCCAAACCGGAACGTATCGCGATATACCATCCAAGTATTAGATATAACTTAGACCTAGGCTGGTCCTCTCGAGGCGGACAGTCTGCGTCGCCATCGCTTAGCAGACGCACAATATGCGGCGGTATTCCACTCCCAACATTGTTTGCAGGTTTTATTTTTGAAGAGCTTATTTGAAGACAAAAGTGACTACAGAAAGTTAATACCGGGCTTGTCGAAGTGACGAATGAATTAGTCGAAGCCGTTCTTGCCATATACTAAAATAGGACATCAATAATAGTGTTGCCACTCTCACGTATGACGGATTCAAATGTCAATTTAAAATGATTTCGTTATTTTTATGCTTATGATGACGTCAATGCGTGCTGCTGTAATGGATCGCATCTCGTATCGCGACAAGTTTAATCTCACATTTTTTTACTGCCCCTGTAAGCAAACGAGCAAACGATCCACTTGATGGTAAGTGATCACCGTCGCCCGTGGACTTCAGCAATGCCAGGACCAGAGCAAAGTTGCCTACCATAAAATGTCATAAATGTCACAATATGTCAGCTGTCCCTACTGTGATATAAGCCTGGCCGAGAGTCTGGACGTGTCAACGGTGACGTAATCATTAGAACAAACATGCGACAAGGATCTGGATGAATATAGCCAAAATTGAGAGTACCTGGCATCAGCGGATGAATCGTTGAGGCAGCTGTGAAGATATCCCGACAGATCGAAGGCTCTACAGCATCCTTATCCCACTAGGTGTGGTCGGCACAGCGAATTTTTCTATTCCACTATCAGCCGTCATGTCAACACTCACTCCTCTCTCTCTCATATCGTCATTAACACACTCCATCCATGTCTTCTTCGGTCGACCTCTTCCCCCTCTACGTTGCACTACCATTTCCATACATCTCCTAGTCACACGCATCTCCTCTCCACGCATCACATGTCCACACCACGCTAACCGCCCGCTCTTTAATTTATCAATCACGTCAGTTGTACTACCAGTAGTTGTGGAGATATTTTTAGATCTTTACTAGCCGTACCCGTCCGCTTCGCTGGGCATTTAGAATTTACATTATTATTTCTCACCCCCACAAAGATTCTCATCATTTACGCCCCCGCAACTGGTGTAGGGAGTCCAACACTCATATAAATATTAGCCTATCCATTAAGTACATGTATTTTCTACATGGATACCAAGTTTCAAGTCGATCGGATGCACGGTTCAGTAGTTATAACGGAACATCCGTAAAAATCCACTGTAGATTTATATATTAGTATAGATATATTTCTTCTGTGCGTGTGTTTGTCACTGAACTCTTACTAAACGGTTGGACCGATTTTAATGATTTTTTGTACGCGTTTGGGTGGCATCCTGGATGGCTTAGATTCACAAATCAGCCCGGCAGATGGCGCTGCAGTCGGTGTCTAGGTTATTTATCTACACTACAACTAAACGGCTGGATCGACTTGAATGATTTTTTGCGGGACAATGTCTGTCGGGTCTATCTATAATACTCAGATAGCATAATAAATATTATATAGTGTAGCAATGTGACGAATACGAATTTATTCATGCGATTGTGCCTTTTTATTTTCGAATTTCAGACCGCTAATTTTAATTTTTAACAACGATATCTCGAAAACTCTGTCCAGTGAATATAATTCATAAAAATTAGGTTCCTTGTCGCAATGTCTTGATTAAATAACACGTAAATATACCTATTTATAAGTGCTGCGTAATATATATTTGTGTTGGAAGTATAGTTTATGAAGCGGGTGTTACGAGAGTTTAATTAACATTTGTAATTAACATTAACACTCATTTAAATCACAAAACGAAAGAGTGCACAGTTTGAGAAACACCGTTTTAAATCATCGTGTAGGTAACGCACGATTTGAGGTTAGCCGCTTAGTCGAAAGTAAAATGGCTATTTAAAAAGAGGGAAACAAAAATACCACTCAACTGTTTACCGGTGTGGTTATTGCGAGTTTTTTAACGTTCTCGTTAGCGTAAAAGTTAACTCTAATTTGTATGGAGTTGGAACGTTCATTTATACTATAGTAGAATTATTTTGTCCGTGAAGTTTGGGTAATAAAAAATCGGACCGATGAAGCGAGTATTCCGCTCTCTCTTCCACTCACGAGCCTTATGGACGGGCACAGTGATGCGCATTATTGTTGTCGATAAGCGTCATCGATAGTGTATTTAGTTTTGTCATTTTGTGGGTTAGTGATCAAAATTAAAGAAAAAATCACTAATCGAACACTCACACCACATATCGCCGCAGCAAGTTAACGAGGACGGCAGAAATTAACACTTTGTAACTTTTCGGGAACTATTCTTATTTCAGTGAAATTTTTTTACGCATTGTTGATAACAACACGTGCAAATATTATTTTGAATAAATTCTGTCGTTTTGATATAAAACAAAGGAGTAGCCATTGTGTCACTAAAGAAATTCAGAGTACGAATGCACAAAAACACATTTCTCTTCGACATAATGTACTATAATTTGCAGGTAAGTACAAATGGCTCTTAACATAACAATGTCTCACCACCCTTCGTATACCACCCGCCGCCATGTAACTGCCTTCGATGACTCATTTGTTTTTATCGATAATGGCGTTGCGCCCGCGCGACATGCTCACCGCCCTAGCCGGGCTATGTTTTATGACCCAAACTGCACGAACAAAATAATTCTCCTATAGTGGCTGTTAGTGGCATACAACAATCCGTGTTCAATCGCATTGGAAATAGAATTATTATAGTACATATTCTCAGACTGTATGCTTTTATATTAAGTATGTGTGTAAGCTAAGATAAGTGTGTTCATGGCCAAAGCGTTTAGTATTTACTTAATTTTAATTGTTGTTCTGTACAAAATTGTTCACAAGAAGATGCACAAATTAATTGTAAAATATAAAGTTTAAGTAGTAAATGTTTTTTGATTTATTTTTTTCTTAGTTGTCGTGGCCTAAAGGATAAGACGTCCGGTGCATTCGTGTTGAGCAATGCACCGGTGTTCGAATCCCGCAGGCGGGTACCAATTTTCCTAAGGAACGTACTCAACAAATGTTCATGATTGACTTCCACAGTGAAGGAATAACATCGTGTAATAAAAATCAAACCCGCAAATTATAATTTGCGTAATTACTGGTGGATGGACCTCTTGTGAGTCCGCGCGGGTAGGTACCACCACCCTGCCTATTTCTGCCGTGAAGCAGTCATGCGGTTCGGTTTGAAGGGTGGGGCAGCCGTTGTAACTATTTTTGAGACCTTCGAACTTATATCTAGGGGTAGGTAGCGGCATTTACGTTGTAATTGTCTACGGGCTCCAGTAACCACTTAACACCAGGTGGGCTGTGAGCTCGTCCGCCCAACTAAGCAATAAAAAAAGTCTTCTCTTCTCAGTCGTTTGCACTCTTGACACAGTGGTCCCGGTCATCATATCGAGTAGTGATGCGCTTCATCAGACGTTGCCATCACTCGCTTACTGCGGCCTTTTTGTGTGCTCTGGTTGACGGGACCGCTTAGAGCTGCCATTGTTTGGTCGGTCCATCGTAACGGTGATCTGCCGCGCGGTCTTGTATCCTTTACCATGCCCTGCACCACAAGGCGCTCAACTGAGTCGTCTCCCGTCCCAATACATATCTGAAGAAAGTAAGAATGCGACCCTGAACGATGGTGGATAGACGCTGCTTGATGACGTAGCGGACTTAGCTTAGTACAATCTGTGTCGAGTCGTCGAACAATAAACAGGTTGCAAACTGTAGTGTCTTGAATAATTATCACCCTACATAATATCACACACGCTCTATATATAAGCACAGACTCTACAGTGGTGACCCCGACGTGATCTACTATTGGTATAATACCACCATTATTAAAATCTCTTGACAAACGCAATGTTTGCCCGTAGGTCATTTCGGCGGCACTGACGCCTGAGTCGGTCCGTGGTGCTGCACGAAGTCCTAGCAAAACAATAGGTAATTCTTCAACCCACGCTTTAGAATCTAGTCGGGCCATGAGCGCTGCCTTAAGTGTATGGTGAATGATGAACCCAATCCTCGCTTGCTGGAATACGACGGTTTGCAACCTATTTATTGTGCGGCGACTCTGCACAGACTGTACTAAGCTACATCAATGCCGAGTTCCTGTAAAATCACATAATTAATTTATTTATTAAAAAAAAAAGAACACAATTTTCCTAACCTAAAAGTACATGTTATTATCCGCAGCATGCTTCGTCAGATTACAGAAATAAAGTTATTAGCAACATGCTTCGTCAGAAAGATCCTGTAAAAGTAACTGATACATTCTGAACTTTGTCCACGATATTTGCAGCATTCTTCTCCAGCACCACATTTCGAGCATATACCACCTTTTTTTCACTTTCTATTAATGTCCAGGTCTCAGCAACGTAAAGAAGAATGGGAAAGACGAACGCTCTTACAGTTGCAATTTTAGTGGCTTTGGTGATATTTCGATTCCCTCATATTTTCTTCAGCCTGTCCATGGCTGACCTTTTGTCAGTGTGTATGTTGGATTTTCTTGTTAAGCGTGTTATTGTTGTACACAACTTAATGTTATTGATCGCTGTATGTTATAGCGAAACATCGCTTAACTACATTTTAAACAGGTGCATCAACTTATCTCTACTGGCGGTAGGATTTCTTGTGAGTCCGCACGGGTAGGTACCACCGCCCTGCCTATTTCTGCCGTGAAGCAGTCATGCGGTTCGGTTTGAAAGGTGGGGCAGCCGTTGTTAATATTCATGAGATCTTAGAACTTATATCTAGGGGTAGGTGGTGGCATTTACGTAAATGTCTATGGGCTCCGGTTACCGCTTAATACCAGGTGTGCCGTGAGCTCGTCTACCCACCTAAGCAATAAAAATAAAAACCATCGAGGAAATAGCTTGCAAATGGTTTTTTATTTTACTAATAATTAACAGGAGCTTTCTTCATATTTGAAACAATTTCTGCAGAGAATATTGAATAATTAATAATGAAGCAGCGCTGGACCTATTGTTGTGGCGAGGCTTTGGAGGAAGGCCTATGTCCGGTAGTGGACGTCTGTGGGCTGATAGAATAGAGTATCTACTGGATATGATTACTTTATATGATACTAGCGACCCGCCCTCGCTTCGCTCCGGAAACATTAAATTTTATTATTCATATCTGAGTCCCAAAATGTTACCCGCGGTTATTGTCTTACCAGGGTGACACCGCGGGGCGAAGCTAGTCAAAAAAAAGTAGCCTAAGTTACTCCTTATATCATCAGCTACCTATCAGTAAAATTCTCGTCAAAATCGGTCCAGTCGTTCCAGAGATTAGCCGGAACAAACAGACAGACAGACAGACAAAAATTGTAAAAAATGTTATTTTGGTGTGTGTTCCGTATATACATACAAGTATATGCATGCAGTAAAAAGCGGTTATTTCAATATTAGAAACAGACACTCACATTTTATTTATATGTATAGATTACCGAATATGCTTAATACTGAATTAGCTTTTTTTAAATTCTGTCAGTAAATCTGTCTGGAAAAACCTTTGCCATGAAGTTAGTTCGATCAGTAAACAAACAAAAATGTCAATAAATGTCAAATGACAAAAACAAAATGGCCTATGCGGTACGGCTTGTTTTGTTTGTGTACAACACATTTAATAACGCGATTCATTAATTAAAACAAATGAAAAATAAGTAGAATTATACTTAAATAAAGAATTTAGAATATCTTCCCCTCAATTTAATATAAACGTAATAATCATGTTGGCTGTTTTACTTTTAAACCGCATGAATATAATGGCGAATAGACATCGCACAGAACGTCGGGAAAAACTTGAGAATTCTTGTAAATTAGCCTCTGAGGCCAATGAGGACGGTTACTGCAGAACGTGTCTCGGTACCAAGGATCTATCGCCGATATTTAACGAGAAACAAACCGAGGAGAAACGTACGCGCGAACTAAAAGTTACAACTGGTTTACAGGTAATTAAAATAAGTTTTATTGCTCCAGCAGATCACCTACCTGGTGCTAACCGTTACCGAAGTTCTCCGACGCTAAGTTCCTAACGCCACACCCCTCCTTGAGGCACGGAGTTGAAAGTTTCAATCGTAGTGGAATTTGAAATATTGGAATTTATCAAATGAGAACTATTGATTTCTTTGGGAGGCTAATAGTCATATTGTGGTGTCCATGGGCGAGTTTAACACCTAGCCGTCGCCCATGCCTCATAATAAACAGCAAAAAAATTTAACATTACTTTTAGTATACATAATGTATTAGTATTGTTAATGGTTATTGCCAATTAGTTACCAACGAAATATTCAATTTGATGTTTATTATTGTGCCTATTTCTTTCTCAATGACATAAAATATAGTAATTGTTAGTTATTTTCAATAGCTGGGCTTATCGCTGGTATTAATTTAAATAAAACCTAGTTAAAATTTATGTAGAAAAATATTTAATTTAATTAAGGTATTGGCAATGGTAGATCTTGAGTATTATTACTCTTTCTAAGACTGTGCTGTTTGCTATATATCTAACAGTAGCCCAGTACACAGTAGACATGTAGAAATATGTGAAGTGAAGTGGGCATAACATAATACCATATAAACTTTTCAGATTAAGAAAAATGATGGTCTATCACAGAGGATATGTTCTGGTTGTTTGGACTCATTGAACCAAGCATTGAAGTTCAGAAGGAAAAGTAAAAAAACAGAGAAAACGTTACTAAATAGGATATCAGGGAATAAAACAAAAAAGAAGTAAGTATTCCCACACCAGAGACAAGGCTCAAGCAATGGAAACAATCACATATCAAGGGGTGAAATGCTATTTGGTTTAAGAGACATTTTTGCAAATTTACAGGAAAGCCATTTGAAATTTAAAATTTGGAAAAAATTCGAAACAAAAATCCTTCAGCTACTTACTTGAATGCAATAAACTTAATTGAAGTTCAATAAAAAACAACAAATTGTTGATGATAATATGATGACCAAATAAAACACATCTTTAATTACAAAGATAAATATTGCTTAAACCATTGTAGCTTTTTACCTCTCAATATGATAGCAAACATGATTATATTCTAATATTTTTAGTATACTATGTCGGATAAAATTCTCAAAATCTTCTGATGCAAGCTGTTCACAAAGTATGTCCAAAAGAAATTCTGTTTTCTATGTAAGCCAGAGTGACAGTCAACGGTTAATTTAGCTTTAGGTCTCCCAACTTCCTCTGGATAAGAGGGGGTTTATTTAACCTTTCCAACTGTAAAGGTCTATGTCCAGTGAAGGGATCTGTTTAATGAGTCTCACATCACATCTGATCCTGAGTTACACATGCTAAGTGTCTATTAATAACTTGGGGTGAAGCAAATTGTAACATCTCACAGGTAAGTACAACTATATGGTACTTTGGTACTTTGGTACTATGGTACTTTGGTACTATGGTACTTTGGTACTATGGTACTTTGATCTCATGTCTATATTCAAGTTATGTTGTCTATCTATTCATCTATCTAAGCAATTAGAAAGGTTGAAGAAATGTGACAACCATGGGCTTGAGCTAGTTTTGCCTCCCCTTATAGAGAGGTTCATACAATGAAAAGCCCTCCCACTCTCAACCTTATATTTGCATTTACAGATACACCAAAATATCTAAAGCCTTAAAGAGACCCAAGATTAAGAAACTTGAAGAGGACATCCCAGACTACGAGTACAGTGCCTTCGAAGACAGTTTCCAAGATGAACAAGACTACAAGCAGGATGACCAGAACTTTGTCGATATTAAAGAGGAAAAGATTGAGATCAAGGTATTTTATGGTTGCATTTGATCTTTTTTTTTTATTGCTTATATGGGTGGACATCCACAACGTAAATGCGCTACCCACCTTGAGATATCAGTTCTAAGGTCTCAAGTATAGTTACAACGGCTGCCCCACCCTTCAAACCGAAACGCATTACTGCTTCACAGCAAAAATAGGCAGGGTGGATGATCTTATTTAATGACAAGTTTAGGTACACACAGTAAGGGATATTTTGTATTGTAACACTCAATAATTATTCTTGATAACTATTGTTCGTTTGATAATCTAAACTTGACCATAATCACAGAGGACTCAAGATCTAAATTTCATTGGTTTTGATTGTTGTTTTCTGAAAAGGAGAACTGAGTTGATTTGGAAAACAAAAGAGAAAATGGTACTTGTTTTATGTTTACCCGTTTATATATACAGATGACATACAGATGACTGCGAACACCAGTGAATCCTAATTTACTACAATACACGAGTTTATTCTCTATATAGCAATACCGACATCAAACAATATATGTATAGACAAGAATGAGACTACCTTCATAAGTACCTAAGGTACTCAGCTACAGAACTTACATTGGGGCAGTGGATGAACGAGGTCTAAAGTAGAACTGCATTGTGGTTGTTTCATGTCTAGGAGTAATAATATCTACGATGAAAGTACATCTAATACTGATTTTTTTTTTATACAATAAGCTGTCTTAAGACATTCAACCGTAGTTTTGAGAAAAACAATATCCTAGGCGATGCATGCACAATGTCCATTGACATGTCTATATCAATCTGTGTACGGTAGATCTAGTAGATCTTCAGTCTTCTTGTAGTCCTTTGGCTGTCCATTAAATGCTTAGTAAGGTTGTTTGGATGGGCTTCCAATCTTACAAAGTAGGCTTTGTGGATTAGGTACTCATCTGTGACTTTTATGGCAAAATTTAGTCAGGTTTTTTTGTTCTTTTTTGTTTGCTCGAGTGAATGAGCTCAAGGTCCATGTGGTCGACCCAGAAGCTCTGGTTAATTGGTCACCAGAACCCATAGAGATCGCTACGTGAATGCGGTGCCCATTGGGACATTAAGAAGGTTCTCAAGACTCCTGGAGACATGTAGTGTGCGCTTCCAGCAGTAAAGTGACCCGAGCCCCTCGTCCTGTCCCCGCAGCCGAAGGTGTCGCGCGCGCGGCGGCCCCGCCCCCGCCCCACGTGTCCCGCCCCGGCCTCGTACAAGTGTCCGACCTGCAGCAAGGAGTTCCGAATGAAGGCCACCTACAAGGCCCACATGCGGTTCCACACTAACTACTGTGTGTGCGAGGTGGGTGCGCTGTACCCGCGCGCGCGGGCGACCCCTAGGGCGAACCCTCTGTTAACACGCTCTCGTTAGCTCGGTACGTTTGTAAGTATCGCAATTTGTCTCCGATCAACTACAAGGGCCGATGAGGATACAATAATTCTATAACTTCGCTCTAATATTAGACCGGTAACGACAGCATAAAAAACAAATATGAAATTCATCATTGTTTAGTTTTCAAAGTACACAATTATAATTGTATAATGTTGTATGGACTATTGGTAGGTGGGACACTCTGGCCGGCTCAACTCGCTGCGTAATGCGACTGAGAGCTTAGCCTCGTGTCTCATGTAGGGACGCGCTGCCAGAGGGGGGGGGGGGGTGGTAGAGCGCGGTGCTGACGTAAACAGTGCTTGAACACACACACACACACAATGACGTACACACTGGGCTGGCAGGTCTCAGCAGACAACAGACTGGTCGTGCCCCTGGCATTGCTGATTTCAAAGGTCGAAGATATTGATTACATGTCGCCAGGGTCGTTCCCGTTGGCACATGGTACGGAACTTAGGACGTCTTACCGTGAGCTTACTTGCATGCAATCTGTAAAAGTCCTCTTCGGACGAGGTCAGAAGGTTGGCTGCCTGTGAAGTCTGTGACCATGTTCCCGCAGTCGTGCGGCAAGAGATGCCGCAATAACAACCAGCTGCAGGAGCACAAGCGGGCGCGGCACGGGCTCGGCCGCATCCACAAGTGTGCGTACTGCGAGTACAGCTCGGCCACCAAGGAGGCGCTCACAGTGAGTACCGCACCCCCACCACGTGCCCTCACCATGACCTCTCGCCACGTCCCCTCACCACGTCCCCTTGCCATGTCCCCTCACCATGTCCCCTCGCGTTTCCATCGGTAACTATATATTCTGTAGCATATTGCTAAATAAAATATAACAATTGAAACATTTTTATTGGACACTAGCTTTTGTCCGCGATTTCGTCCGCGCGGAATAGTTACTTTGGCATAACGCAAAATTTTACCCGCGACTTCGTTTACGTGGAGAGTGAAAGTATTTTTGAATAATACAATGTTAAGAAGCCATGGAACCAAAATCATGCTTTTTAACCGACTTCAAAATGGGAGGTTATCAATTCGACTAAATTTTTTATCTATGTATCACTGAGTTTCTCGCCGGATCTTCTCAGTGGGTCGCGTTTCCGATCCGGTGGTAGATTCTGCGAAGCACGGCTCTTGCTAGAGTTCGTCTTAGCAACGTCGTCAGGTTTGAGCCCCGTGAGCTCACCTACTAGTTAAGGTTACGCTGAAATAGCCTCTCAAGGCTCTCAGCTTAGGTAGGAAAAAAAAATTCTAGCACTTGGTGAGTATTGATGAGCGTGCGTGCGTGTAGATCCACGAGCGGCGCCACACCGGCGAGCGTCCGTACGTGTGCGACCACTGCGGCGCCACCTTCCACCGCCGCTCCAACCTCGTGCAGCACATCGCCATCCACCTGCCCGAGAAGAACTTCCAGGTACCCACGACGAACCTAATGCTTCTAAAGTCTTCATAAACTGAATCTCTCATCTTGATAACTTGCTAAATAAAATCACTCGCTAAATGTGTTCTTTGTTTCTTTTAATTTACTTGCTAATTTCATTCTGTCTTTCATGCGATTTACTCGTTACATCGAAACTCTTACAGGCGCACGACTTCATACGCACTCAATGTTCACTCGCTAAATTGTTTCTTTCTTGTTCTCGCTAAGTTCTTTCTTTTAATGCAGACGTGTCCAGGAAACGGTCCGCGATGCATGTTTCAATCAGAAAATAGTTTTGGATATAAATAGTTTCGATAATAGAATTCTTTGTGATTTATAATCAATATTTGGTGTAATTTACCTATATTCTTATAAAATTCCATTGCCATGAAATCTCTTAAAAGTGAAGCTATCTTTTACTATGATTTTTTTGAAAATATTTTTCTCTGCGTCTCCCCAGCTTTAATAGTAAATATAATTAGCTCGCAAGTAGTTTGAACAGTCCTGTTTCAATGGTTAGTTCCTCCTCGTCTTCACTTTACTCAAGTCAGGGCCATATGAGCGCTCATAGATCCGTCGCGCGACAAACAGCTACTAGTCTCATGTCTCTGGGCCCGCGTCGACGTCCGACGGCCGCGCCCCCAGTAACGCGCGCGTGTGTCCGCAGTGCGACATGTGCCCGAAGCGCTTGAAGTCGAAGAAGTTTCTCCAGATACACAAGCACAACGCCCACACGGGCAAGCGGTACGGGTACCTCTGCCCAATATGCGAGCACCGGTTCGAGAAGCCGAACAAGGTGCGCGCCCACACCAGGAGGGTCCACGGGCTGCCGGACGACCAGCAGGGGCCCGTCGTCAGGGTGCAGCTGTAGACACGCACACGCACACACACACACATCTACTGGTGGTAGGACCTATTGTGAGTCCGCACGGGTAGGTACCACCACCCCACCCTTATCTGCCGTTGAAGCAGTAATGCGTTTCGATTTGAAGGGCGGGGCAGCCGTTGTAACTATACTGAGACCTTAGAAGTCAAGGTGGGTGGCGGCATTTACGTTGTAGATGTCTATGGGCTCTGGTAACCATTTAAAACCAGGTGGGCCGTAAGCTCATTCTCCCATATAAGGAATAAAAATAATAATAAAAAAAACACACATACACACACAGCTCCATAACTGAACTACCTTCTGTCGGACCCGATATTGATACACATCATTTTCTCAAACACTCTACACACTCATCATAAAAAACTCATTTGACTAAAGGCTGCTACACACATATTATTGAACAGGCGATATCACGAGACATTTACCTAGTATTTTTTACTTAGTCTCTAGATATTATATACAAACATTCAACCTACAGCTGCCCGAAAAAGATATTATTGAATCGGCCTCGTAAAAAGTTTAATGACACAACGAACAGGGCCCCTGGACCACAGCACATATCGGAAAAGGTAAGATGTTGGCACTAGTTAGTTTTTTTGTAAGTTACCTAAAATCGTCCATTAAAGAAATAATTAACAAAGATTATAATATAACTAGCTGTACTCGTCCGCTTCGCTGTGCATTTAAAATTAAAATAACATAATTATTTCTCTTAAAGATTTTGATCATTAACGCCCCCGCAACTGGTGTAGGGAGTTCAACACTCATATAAATATTAGCCTATCCATTAAGTACATGTATTTTCTACATGGATACCAAGTTTCAAGTCAATCGGATGCATGGCTCAGTAGTTATAATGGAACATCCGTATAAACCACTGTAGTTTTATATATTAGTATAGATATGATAAGATAAGTCCGATCGGATGAGCACCGATTCCCCGGTTGTGACTGCAAAGCGCAGGGGCTCACAACGTCGCCTACCACCAGTAATGAAGGGTGCCTGCCACTATTATTCGTTGATATTTAAATATTGTGCTAACTACCCTCTATTTTTCTATAAAACGCATTTGTAAACTTTTACCGAACATATATTTCTGCCTTCAAAATAGATGAAATAAATTCTTTAATGGACGCATTTCTAGTTATTTTTGGAAGAGAGCACTAGTGGTTGACATGTTTTGTTTATAATCTTTTTTTTAATATTCAGAATCATTACTGTAAACCTTTTGTCAGTCAACGACTAGTATCGTGAGTAATGCCAAACACTAGTGCCGATATCTTTCCGATACTACCCTAGTATAGTATAGTTATTAGGACCACGTAACTATCGTATCTGGTGTGACTTTGTGATAACAGACAGAGGATGCAGGCGTCGCATTATAATTACTTTATATTTTAGTATTCGAGCGCCATTAACCGTATTTGAGTTTGGACATAGACAATCTTTAGAACGTCTGGTTGTAGCTAACGATCACAGGACTTTTTGGACGGGAACCCGAGGATTGAAGTCATGTGATTTGTTTTATTTTGTCTATTTAGTGTTCATTCGTATTTCTTCTTATTTTCTTATTATATTGGAGAAAATGGAATTAATTCTTTTCTAGTTCATTAATTCTGGAATATTCCATATCATTGTAAATATTTAGTACTAGTCTAGTATACGTCCTAGTATTGTGCGTCTCAAAACAAGTCCTTTTCGTTTTGTCTGTCTGTTTATTATTCCGATGCGGAACTGTCTCGCTGATGATGACTTCGTTTTCCCTCAGTGTCCGGTTTGTCAGAAAATGGAGAAATCTAAGAAACGCCTCCAGATCCACGTCTCAAAAAGACACCGCCCCCGGCCCACGTACAGGTGAGACTTTTCTAGTGGACTTTTTGAAAGAACCCGAGTAGCTACGTCCGGCGGCTTTATTTGTTTCATTTTCCTACATCTGTGCACTTAAACAGGAGCTGACCATTTAATATCCGTAGTAACCGTAAAACCCACCATTCACAATGTTATCGGCCACAACCGATGCTAATTTTCCACGGTTTCCTCAAAGCGTTCCTTTAAAAGTCCTTTGAAAATTCTGCGGTCATTATGGTAATATGAATTTATTGAGCTCTAAAAAAAAAATTGGTGACCGAGAGATCCACTTTGAGGGAGGCTACCATTAAAACACATTTAAAAACGAAGACGACGATAAGTTGTAAATTCGTTGTTCGACAATAAAAAATAGTAAGTTTACAATAATTCCCAGGTACATGTGCCCTATGTGTTCGAAGAACTACCAGCAGACGGATCACGTCAGGAGACACATGGCGCGCTGCCACGGCGTCTCCAGGGACCAGCAGGGACAGATCCAAAAACTGCCAATAGAATCGTTTAGTAATCTGGCAACACTGAAACACTAGTTTTGTAGCGACATCTATCTGTGATATGAAGAAGCCGGGCAAAGGAATCTCCCGTTTTATATGCGACTTATCACCATTACTGCGGGGTGACGACGTGTTCACGCCTCCAGTGCAGCAAAGAGAACGCGTTAGCCTACAATTTCTTCCCCATTACGTTTCAAGACTATTTTTTCAAAAGCCAATTCACTCGTAGATCCGGCTCGAAGGATCAAACTTTAAAAGCAGCTCTTTAAAGTGGCGAGTGTGATATATGTGTGTGTTTAAGAGACGTTATTATATCCATTTTACCTACATAAACATTACTTTTACAGTCATAAGTCATATGTTAATGCACATTCATATTAGAAGAAGCATAAAACAGTTCACATAACCTCACTCCTCGTTTTCCCGCCAAAAAGTCGCTTGTTCTGAACTACAATATTACTTTCGTTTGTTTTTTTTAAACCTTGTACAACTTAGAATAGTTAAGCAATCTAACCAGTAGTAAGTGATGTAATAAAACAGTATTGTTAAATATAAATTGTAAATTAGTTTTTGTAAATATAGTAAGAAATAAAGATGAAGGAATTTTTAAATGAGACTTTTAATTATGAGCTAAGATGGCGCACCCGTTATATGCGATGCATATTTTTTTTATTGCCCTTGTAGTCAGACGAGCATACGGCCCACCTGATGGTGAGTGGTTACGGTTGCCCATGGACTTCAGAAATGCCAAAACGATGCATCTGGAGACATAAGACCGAACTATCAGCTCTGTGTCTTGAGCGCTAACAGTGACATAGCGTTGATCGTGGCATTGCTAATGTCAACCCCCGCCATTAGATGACTGTAACACAAACACAGGTCACAGGTCTATCGTGAAATTTGCCATCGTTAACGTTCTGTGACGTATCGCATGAGTATACAGCCACGGACGCTCACCACCGCATGGCTGTATAATCTGTAGCAGATACCAAAAGCCCGCCAAAACTGAAACTTATGTAGAAGGAAATCGCAATATTAAAAACTTAAATGAAATACTGTTTAAGCAGATCCAAATACAAAAAAATGTTTGTGATGATTAGTTAGACATCAACGTGATATTAAGACTTATTCCTTGACTGTATGTTTCTGTCTTTCGTCCGGAATTTATTATATTCATTGTCAGTTTACCATACAATAACCGATTAAAATCAAATTTAAAATAATAATCTATCTACTAAATTGAGTGTGGCAGTTTGTTAATTACTCCTTTTGCATATCTCTTCTAAGAGCCCTTATTATAAACTTGATCAGGATTTCCAACAGCCAAAGAAAATACAATCTCACCAATAAGTTTATGGGGGGTGACGACTGCGAAAGGGTAGATCTTACAACTAGTGGATGGTATTGGTCGGTAGACCGAAGGTTCAATAAATGATGTTCGAAATTTCTAAATATTTATTTTGAAAATGTCAGTATTGCGATTTAAGTTGGTGTTAATTAATGCCAATACTATGATATCAACCGCTACGAGTTAAAATGTTTCATCAACAAGTATTCATTTACTATAAACAAATTGTTCTTTTGTCATTGCTTGGTTACGTGATTACGCAACTCTGCCAAAGCCGCGATGCCGGTCCCAAACTCGAACCAGAAAAGAGAAGGGTTGAGTTGGAGTTCGACCTTTCGGCGGTGTTTAGTAAACTAGACCCAAATAAGGTTTTAGCGGCCCCGAAGAACCAAATTTATTCCAAAATCACTGCCGCGGCTGTGGAAGGACGTGGGATCCCAACGTGTGTTTTTTTCCAAGAAAGCCTCATCAGGCCACGACCCTCAGCATTGAGATTTTTGACGCAAGGAGGAGGAGTTACGTGATGAAGGTATGGAGACTCCAAATGAGATATGGGATTAGCGCACGGGACTGAAGCTTACAAAGCTCGTGAATTGTTTGCTCAAAATTCTAGCTTAAAATATAACAAAACGTCGAACTGGTTGCAAAACTTAAAATTCTTCATCTAAAAACTTAAAAATCTCCATCGTTTGCTAAGTAACTTAAATTTTAATTTTTATAGGTATTTTTTATATGTCCGTAAGTAATTAAACTGTTCGAAATACCAATGACCTAAAATATAAGTATTTCCACATGTATTTTTATAGGTGCGAACAAAACGCGAAAATTGTTTAAATGTCAAACTTAAACGTCAAGTTAATTGTTTTGGTCGCTGATTTTGTTATTTATTATTCTTTTAAGATACCTACATATGTATTTGTATCTAGAATGCAATTTAACTAATAAATTATAAACGCAGTAAAATATAGGTTTTAATATTAGGAACAAAATGACTTGGAACAGCTGTCGCACCTGTTTAAGCGTCCAGAATTTAAATCCAATATTCCCTATGCCGGAACACCACGAAAAATATACAAATGTGATATTATACACCACAGGAGTTAAGGTAACTAACCGTTTTTCAATTTTGTAAGAGGTATCTCTAATTTCCTTAGCGTTGTTATCTGTACTTCTGTACTTAAGGCCCTGCTAATAGTAAACAAATGCAAAAAAACCATCTTTCGTGCCATATCTTATTTTTTGACTGGTTCTTTTTTTTAATTTTTTTATTGCCTTTGTAGGCGGACGAGCGTACGGCCCACCTGATGGTAAGTGGTTACCGTCGCCCATGGACTTCAGCAATGCCAGGAGCAGAGCCGAGCCGCTGCCTACCGGGTGGTACTGTAGTTCGCGGCTGACTATTGCGTCGACGGTCGTGGCTTCGATTCCCGCATCAGGCAAACATCGTGTGTTGAACAGGTTGGTTTGCTCTTTGTTTGGGTATTTATTATCTAAATGTATATATTTAATTAAATGAGGACTGGGCTGACTGTATATGCCGTAGAATCGACGATCACTGGAGCAGATTGCTTCACGAGTGGAGACAGCGCAGCAGAAAACGTAATGTGGGATGCCCCATGACGGACCTCCGAACAGTGACTGGCAAGAAGTGGATGAGGAGAGCCGAAAACTGGACTCAGTGGTGTATTGGGAGAGGTCTATGTCCAGCAGTATAGGACTGTGGGCTGATGATGATATATTTAAACACATAAATATGTACATCAGTCTCGGTATCCATACAGGGAATGTTAAATACAGGATGACCATGTGCGATTTGTTCCCAGTGATTTATGTTATTTTTATTTATACCTTTAGTACTGCTAGTCTGGGACTAGCTAGAATAAAAGTTTTATAAAAGCTAACAGACCACAAATTTATTTGGTTATAGTATTACAGTTTTAAGGACAGGATAGCCCTTACAATATATTTATTTTCTCTCATAAACGTTTACACATTATACACGATACAATGTGTACAATTTCTAGATACTGTCTAGGTGTATTTAATTCTTGTCTCTCAATAATATGCTCCCATTAGTTTCTTGATATTTTAATGCAACAAAAACGTTATCGTACGTATTTAGGATGAAACCTTTAAACGGTCTCTTCAAATATAACTCTAGACATGTAACGACATATGGCCAGGGACTCAATTGGCTAATGAGTAAGGATTATTTTTACTGTTTACCATGATATTGTAAATCATTTTGTTGATTGCTCAAATATTTTCCAGGTGGAACTGAACGATGAGTATCCACAAGTAATGTGTACATCGTGCATACAACTGATAAATGATTCATACAAGTTCCGGAAGAAGTGTGAGCAGACGCAGCAGATACTCCAGAGCAGCACCCACACACGAGACGGTGTAGTTAAAACTGAAATGCAGTCACAGAACGATGCCACATACACTTTTATTGATATTTCGGATTTAATAATTGATTTGGACACGACAAATGCCAACGAAGATGAAACAAATACTAGTATAGAAGAAGAAAAAAAGTTAAATAAGAAAAAGGAGAAAGTTAAAAAGAAAGAGAAGAAGGATGTGAAAGTGAAAGAGAAGATAGAGTGTGAACATTGTCACAAGATATTAACTTCCAAACTGTCACTGCGGAATCATTATAAAATACACACCGGGTTTGATGTGGTCTGCGAGGTGAGAGGACATCTTCCTTATTATTATTGTGCTCAACGAGGCCCATGGACATCAAGTTCCTAAATTCATTGGAGTCAGAAATAGGCCGGTACCTACCTTGTGAGTGCAGAGTCCCCTTCACACTCATAAGCTAGACCGCGCGAGAGAGAGATGGGCAGACTTTTCATGATGCGCATGCAGTGCGACGTCACGCCGCGCGCTCATTCACAAACACTACACAAGCGCAACGTGTGTACGTGTTGAATGCGAGTTACATAGTAGGCGGAGCGGGGCTGTTAGGTTTTATTTTCATTACGGAATTTCTTGATTCGGTCGCCGCGCTCAAAGGCCGCGATAAAAGCTATGCAATAGTTTAAAAGAGAAAAAATATTGTTCTCAGCACTGCGGTAAAAAGTTCATAACGCGGAGGCTGCTGCTGATGCACTGCCGGGCCAAGCACGGCTACGAGAAGACGGACAAGTGCTCCTACTGCGACTACCGGGCCTCCAACGCCGAGCAGGTCAAAGTGAGTCGCGCACCCGATCCCTCCGCCGCCACGCTGATGTACACTCTAAGCACTCCGCACACGATCTAATGTCGTCTAAAGGCTGTAGAATTTGTTCCGATTTGGTGCGATGCTAGTCGCTTAGTGGAAACTATCGTTTGTAGTTCGGGAGCCCGCACTGACCCCCCCCGGCCCCCGTGGGCAGTGTGACGTCACGCCGGGGGGGCGGGGCGGGGGCGGGCCGCAGTTGTTAGTAGAGAAGTAAGTGAGCGTGTGTTTTTTTTTGTTTTTTTTTTTGGCGGGAACGCGAGGAGTAAAGTTGATTTGTTTTATTTTGTCTATTTAGTGTTTCTTCGGGTTTAAATGTGTAATAACGGTGGTTTATTAACTGTTTAGTATCTGTGAAAGTGCACAAATGTGAGAAAATGAAACAAAGCCGCTGGACGTAACTTCTCGGGATCCTCCAAAAAGTCCACTGTAAAAATCTCAGTAAATAACCATCATTTTACTGAGATTATATTTCATCCCATTTCATCTCATCTCATTTCATTTCATTTGATCCCAGTTGTTTGATCCCATTAATGTCTCACATTAATCATCTTCACTTCATTTCATAATATAAAAATGAATTGCTGTTCGTTAGTCTCGCTAAAAACTCGAGAGCAGCTGGACCGATTTGGCTAATTTTGGTCTTGAATTATTTGTGGAAGTCCAGAGAAGGTTTAAAAGGTAGATAAATATGAAAATGCTCGGAATTAAATAAAAATAACAATATTGTTTTCCCTTTGATGTGTCCCCCCGTGGGACGGATTCCTTTTGTTTGTTTTAAGTTTATTTTATACAAAAGCTTAGGTGTTTTATTTATCGATTGAAGCACTACGAAGTCTGCCGGGTCAGCTAGTTTTTCATAAACATAAGAATATAAATTAGAATAAGACCTTTTTTTTATTGCTTATATGGGCGGACGAGCCCACAACCCACTCGGTGCGAAGTGGTTACTGGAGCCCATAGACATGTAGTCGTCGTGGCTTAACGGATAACACGTCCGGTGCATTCGTGTTGAGTGATGCACCGGTGTTCGAATCCCAATTTTCCTAATGAAATACGTACTCAACAAATGTTCACGATTGACTTCCACGGTGAAGGAATAACATCGTGTAATCAAAATGAAACCCGCAAAATTATAATTTGTGTAATCACTGGTGGTAGGACCTCACAACGCAAATGCGCCACCCATCCCGAGATATAAGTTCTAAGGTCTCAAGTATAGTTATAACGGCTACTCCGCCCTTCAAACCGAAACGCATTACTGCTTCACGGCAGAAATAGGCAGGGAGGTGGTACCTACCCGTGCGGACTCGCAAGAGGTCCTGTCACCAGTGAGGCATGATTCAAAGGTCTTAGTTACCAGATCATAAAATCCCTTAAAAAGTAAGTGCGCGTCGATCGTGGGCTCATCTCGTCAGATCCACGAGCGGCTGCACACCGGGGAGCGCCCGTTCGTGTGCGCGCAGTGCGGCGCCGCCTTCCACCGGCGGAGCACCCACCTGCAGCACGTCGCCACGCACCTGCCCGACCGCCCCGTGCCCTGCCCGCACTGCCCCGCGCGCTTCCAGACCACCACCCTCATGCGCATCCACCGCAGCCGCCACGCCGCCCCGCCCGCGCGCTGGCGCTGCGCCCTGTGCGAGGGGCGCTTCGCCCGCCGCCGCACCGCCCTGCGACACCTGCTGCGGGCGCACGCGCTGCAGGACCCCGCGCTGCTGCACAAGGACACCGCGCCCTGACCCCCCCACCACACTCACTCAATCAACAATCTTGCGGTAGACAGCGGCTTAGCTCTGCCCCTGGCATTGCTGAAGTCCATGGACGACGGTAAACACTCACCATCAGGTGGGCCGTATGATCGTCTGCCTACAAGGGCAATAAAAAATAATCATTTCTTTTTAATTTAATTAGGTACATTGAAAACCATTCCGAGGATTATGTTAATTAATTACAAAGTATACATTTTTAAGGAAAAATATATTTTAATTACCAATATTTTTAATCAGTCATGTTTGATCTTTGTTTGTCCTCCATTGCCATGGTTGGCTGTATTGGCACAGATACTTCAGTCTATATGTTTTATTGACTCTGTGCACAACTCAAATGTCAGTTTTGTTATGAAAGAAAGAAAGAAAATCTCTATTCGCCAGAAATATAGTTTACAAGATATAGGACATAGCTTCATATATTTCGCCTGTTTAGGCATGCGAAAATTTAATTTATTTTTATATTAATTATAACACAAAATTTACTAAATCTATCTATTTTTACATTCTATCACTTCTTATTCTAATATTTTATTATGTACAACACTTATCATTTAAAAATTCTTGCACACT